CTACCCAGAAGTGTTTTACATTAGCGACTGCACACTGAAACATATAGCCTGGCCCACTTTTTGTTTGCAAGAGGTATGTCACTGTCCGTCACTGTCCCTGTCACTGTCCTCCTGCTGTTCATCGATTTGCTCGAGCAGGCCCAGTAACGTCTCCATTGGAGACTTTGTTGTTACTGTGTTTGGCATATCGAATACGTCACGGGGAGCTTGCCAGGCTCTGCCGTGTGGGCGAGATACTCTCAGTAGCTTGCCGGGCTCTCTGAGAGGGGCGGAGGAATCGAACTCGGGTCAGCCATGTTGGCTGCATGCAAGGCAAACGCCCTACCACTGTGCTATTGCTCCAGCCCACTGCAAGAGGTATAGAACACAAATATCCAGAACCACTTATAGGTAATCATAACAGGAGATCATTCTTGATACTGCTTTTAAAAATAGAAGGGGGGCTGGAGCAATAGTACAGCGGATAGGGCATTTGCCTTGCACACGGCCGACCTGGGTTCAATCCCCGACATCCCATATGGTCCCCCAAGCACTGCCAGGAGTAATTCCTGAGCGCAGAGCCAGAAGTAACCCCTGAGCATCACTGAGTGTGACCCAAAAAGTAAAAATATTTAAAAAAAACAGCAGAGGTAAGACTTAATAAACTCTAAAATTATTAGGAATAGGATTGAGAAATGGGAGATTTTGAGTAAATTTGTCTGAAAGTCAAAACTCTCCTCAAAGCTCTCTCCAAGTTCTAGGCTAAGGTATTGAGACAGGAAGTGAGACCAGGTTGAGGAATTTCATTTAGTATTTTAATAATAATAATAATAATAACAATAATAATAATAATAAAAAGACAATACAAAACCCAAACATTTCTTTTTACAAGTTCAGATACATTTTTCCCCAAGTGCAAAATACTCTATGAACTGCATCATTTACTGTTTATTGTTGATTGTGTAGGAGATGCTTACTAGACTGGCAGCAGTGGAAGGCAGATATAAATACAATACTTTGAGATTTCTTCTGTATTCAAAAGAAAAAAAAAAGAAGAGCTTCCCAAATGGTTATCAATAGTCTCTGAAACTTCAGTTCAATTCACACAGAATCAAGTTTTCTGTTTGTCCAAACTGCTACAATCTGTGTTGTCTAGACAAGTCAATAAAGACTGAGGATTTGACTCCCCCTCATCAGAAAGTTTCTTAGGCTTCTAGTCCATGGAAGGCCCAAGGACAGGGTATATGACCTTGAGACAGGTCAGCTTTAAAGATCTCCTTGTTGGCTTCCGTTTTTCTCCTATGGGAGTAAGCAGGAAGCCAAGTAGGTCCTCATTCTTTTCTGCTTACGGTCCATGAAACTTTTCTCCCTAGTTCGAGCCTGTGAAATCAAGGTGAGAAGCAGCAAATAACAGAGTTTGAATGCTGGAGGCCACTTTCAGGCAGACCGTGATGACTTCCTCGTGAATCCACTCCAGAATTGCCAAGAGTATGGAAAACACATTTCTGATAGGGGAAAAAAAAATATTCCCTAGTACCAAAGATTGGGACTAGATCACTAATCTTTCAGAAAAAAAAAAAATCCAAATGCCTGAGTCTCCACCATCTCAAATCACCGATTTCTGAGACAATGGGAGGAGCATCGGCCTTGGGGGTCTGCAGGCATGGGGTGGGGAAGCTCAAGTTCAGGATCTGGCTAGTTTCCTCTGACTCTGAGAGTCTCAGATGTCGGGGTCAGGCCTGGAATAAGAACAGGGCGAGAGAGGCAGAGAGAAGAAGGGCTGCCACGTTGCGGAGGAGGTAAGTGCCTTTCTGGTAGGCGTTGCTTGGACCCCGAGTGCTGGCGGACCCCCTCAGAGCATTGGACTCAGATCATAGCTGGTTTTAGACTAAGACAAATGAGGCGTCATGGGGCCCCACAAGCATCGCGCCCTGCAGAGGTCTCTGGGCACCCACTCACACCATCTCCCACATCCCTGCATTGGTGAGAACCCCTTTCTCTGTCTCACCTCCAGCGGCCTCGAGAGTCCCTGAGTGTCGACCCCTCCTTCAGTCCACTGGATCCCTGATTGGGTGCCCAGGGCCAGCGTCCCCCCGAGATGCAGCAGCAGCAGCAGTGCCTGGTTCCTACTCCCAACCCAGATGCAGTTCAACTTGGTGGACATTGGGCAGATCTTTGTCTACTTATCCAGATTCGCCCTGGACCAGGGATGTGGTTCAGTGTTGAGCCTGCTACATGCCCTGGGTCCACACACACACACACACACGCACACACACACACACTTGTTCTGACATCAGAAGCCTAGTGGTCTATACTTTCCGTATTGTGAAGATAATTCTCAGGTCCCAGAAACCATGGAATAATTATTATAGGAAATGCGGCTACATGTCTATGTGGGCTGCAAGTGGGCCAAAGTGGAGCCCCCACCCCTCTCTGGCATTAACTGGGCAGTATTCTGCCTAGCTTCCCAAGAGAGATATGAAATGGTCCAGAGAGAAGCATCAGTCACCCTCCCTCACCTCTGATAGGGAATTTGGATGGATAGAGTTAGTCAAGATCATCTTTAGAGGAAGCGAGAACAATGCAAATTAGTATTAAAAAACCATTTCCTCACCTGAAAAGCAGCCCTTTTGTTTCTCTGGGGGGCGGAGGGGAAGAGAGAGAGAGAGAGAGAGAGAGAGAGAGAGAGAGAGAGAGAGAGAGAGAGAGAGAGATTCTTTTGACCATGTAAGCAAAGGCAGTTAGATACCCACCACCAAGGCTCTTGGTGGTGGCCAGTGGGTTTCGTGGGAGCTATCGGTGACACTGGCTGGGCTGGTGAGTGCTGACTGGTGGAAAGGATGTCAGGCTCTTTAGAGCCAAGTCAGCTGGGGAGGGGGCCGGCAGGAGAGGAGACCAGTGAGCTGGGGTAGAAAGCCACCCTAGGAATCCACGGAGAGCCTTTGGCTTACTAGGACTACAGCTTTGGAGAACACTAGCAGGGAAAACGGAAACTACATTTTGTGGGCATCAGTCCAACAGAGGGTGGAGAGTAGTCGCAGGACCTGGGCTCGGGCATGGACCGGAGTCTTCCTCCCTTTGAGAAACAACGGCTGAGGAAGCGAGGCTGGCTGTCAAGGCCTGGCGAGCTGGTGAGGTCACACGGCTCGGGCTTGTCCCTGCTCTGTTCTTGGCTCCCGCAGCCTTGTCCCTGGCCTTGAGGCCCTAAGTCAGCCCGTCACCATCATCTTGATCTTCCTCCATCTACACCGCTGGAGAAAACAGGACGAGGGCGGGGAAGAGATGGGGGGATCTCTCCCCGTTTAAGGCGAAGAATCACTGACCAATTCCACTGGCCTCTGCAATGACGAGGTCCATGTGGCAGCCGCGGGGAGGCTGAGTCCCCAAGACCAATGTCCCATGCATCCGGTGCCTCTGCGCTGCAGCCTGGGGCCACCCCCGGGGCGGGCTCTCTGGGTCTGGAGGGGCATTGCTGGGGGTGGAGGTGGGGGTGGGCGCCGGTGTCAGAGCAGGAGACCCACCCCAAACCCACCCTCCTCTCGTGGGCAGCTCGACCTGGGATCGCTCTGAGAGGGAAAGGAAACAGAAGCCAAGCCGGAATCAGAAAACAAAACCCCTCCCTCTAGACAACACAGACAGACTCCAAATTGATTGCACTTATCAGCTGTGGACGGTGGGCAGCGGTCCACAGTCCGGGCCCGAGGTAGGTGGCTCCGGGCTGGCTGCAGCGTGGGGTCCTCTTTGGTGGCGCCCACAAGCCATCTGGGGCGATGAGGGGAAGGCGACTCTTGCGGGGGTGGGGAGGCCCAGGCACGTGTCCACTCAGCAGCCTCATTTCCTGAAGGACAGCATGTGGCCAGGGCAGGAGTGTTCCCCCAGGGTGAACCACAGGGGCTGGCTGGGCCAGGGACAGGCAGGAGACTTGACCCGCGTTCGAGGCGCGCTTCCGGCTGGTGTGTGGCGCAGGCCGTCCCAGGATACGTCTCTGTCTTTTCTTTCCTTTTCCCTCTTCCCGCGATACTTGAAGACCTGGTTTCTGTCCGACAGAGCTCCCATCTTGGGCATCCCCGCCGTGGGTTTCACCACCTCTCTCACCGCCAGCTGCTCTTCCTCATCCCTCTAGTCCAGGGGTGTGGCCTTGTCAGCCCCCATAGGCAGCCCCCCTCACCCCAGTCGAGACCTGCAGGGCAGGAGAGGAGCTGGACAGGAGAGACAAAGCTGGCCGCAGGGGGCAGTCCAGGGCTTCCATGTGGGCCGGCAGGAAGCCTGGGGTCAGAGGCCTCTCTGGCCCTGCAGTGGGCAGAGGCACCCCACGGGGTCCCTCACTGCACCGTTGGGCCCCCGATTCACAAGGCACGGCACTTGAATGTCCCTCGTCCTCTCCCGGTTCCCCACTGGACTCCCTGCCTCTGTGGGCCTCTAGCACCTTCCAGGCTGACGGGGCCTGGGTCGGGAGCTGGCCAAGTGGGCAGTGGGGTGGGGAGAGGCAGGGGACAGAGCCAGCGCTGAGGGGTTTTCTGGGGAAACTGGTAGTGAAACACGAGGATCGGGGAGAGAGACAGACAGACAGAGACACACACACACACAGAGAGAGAAAGAGAGAGAGAGAGAGAGAGAGAGAGAAGACAGACAGAGACACAGAGAAAGAGAGACAGAGACAGAGACACAGAGAGACACAGAGACACAGAGAGACACAAGAGAGACAGAGACACAGAGAGACAGAGACACAGAGAGAGACATACAGACAGAGAGACACACAAGAAAGACAGAGACATACAGAAAGAAAGAGAACCAGGCAGACAGAGACAGAGAGAGACACAAGAGAGACAGAGACACACACAGAGAGACAGACAGGAGAGACAGAGACAGACAAAGACACAGAGAGACAACAGAGACACACACAGAGAAAAGAGACAGACAGATAAGAGAGAGACAGAGAGAGAGAGAGAGAGACAGAGAAGGAGAAGGGGCTAAGAAGCCGGGGACCGGGTCTACGAGTGACGGATGAGCGGCCTCCTTGTCTGAGGGGGCGGCCACTGGCTCTGGGGGCAAAGGCGTGTGGGGCCTTCAGAACCCGGGTCTCAGGCTGGGGGGCCACTATTTGTAGGGCCTCAGGAAGCTAGAAACTTTGGACCGGAGCAGTTTGATGAAGGACTTGGGCAGCATCTCCTTGTGCTTCTCCGTGTACTTGAAGTAGTTCTGGGGGTGGGCCAGCACCTCGAAGAACGCCTTGATGAGCTTCTTGTCCTGCAGGGGATGGGGGCCGGGCAGGGTCAGGCAGCAGGAGAGAGGGACCCAGGGACCCCCTCTGCATCTGAAGCAGGGTCCAGCCCCTGGCCCTGCCCCCTCAGCCTGAGCACTCCACAGTGCCAGCACCAGCTTGAGCGAGCACCGGGGCTCCGTCAGACTCCTGGAACAGTGCTCTTTCCTAGCAGCAGATTTTTAAAATGAAGATGTGGGACCCCTAGTCTCTCTTCCTTACTTTAATCAGGATGGAGGTACTACTGTATATTTTTATTTCCAGAGCCCATTTCAAATAAGGGCTCAGATTTCTTTTTATTATTATTATTATTTTTTTGCTTTTTTGGGTCACACCCGGTGATGCAAAGGGGTTACTCCTGGCTCATGCATTCCAGAATTACTCCTGGTGGTGCTCGGGGGACCATATGGGATGCTGGGAATCGAACCCGGGTCGGCCACATACAAGCAAATGCCCTCCCTGCTGTACTATCACTCCAGCCCCAGGGCTCAGAGTTTTAAAGCTAGGTTCAGAGAGCACTAGAAATGGCTCAAAAGACTGAGTGTTTGCTGTGCATTCAGGAGGATTGGGATCGATCCCTGGCACTACTTGGTCCTCTGAGCACTGAGCCTGGAACAACCTCCAGCACCACCTAATGTGGCCACAAAACCAATACACACACACACACACACACACACACACACACACACACAATGTTGAAAGGTCATTGGTGTAATTCTTTTTTGAGGGGGTGGATTTGGGCCACATTCAGCTGTGCTCAGAGCTTACTCCAGGCTCTGTGTGCAGAGATCACTCCTGGAAGTTTCCAAAGGGACCATACAAGGTGTCAGGAATAGAAGTGGGGTTGGCCACATGCAAGGCAAGTGACTTAACCCCTGTACAATCTTTCTGGCCCTTGAAATTAAATTCTTTGTAGTTTGTAAGTTCTAAATTTTTATCATCATGTTTCATTTTTATATCAATATATGAGCTATTGAAAATGCTGGTAATTTTGGTTACTTTTTTTTTTGGCATCACACCCAGCGATGCTCAGGGGTTACTCCTGACTCTGCACCCAGGAATTACTCCTGGCAGTGCTCGGAGGACCATATGGGATGCTGGGAATCGAACCTGGGTCGGCCGCATGCAAAGCAAACACTCTATCCACTGTGCTATCACTCTAGCCCCTAGGACTAGTTTCTTAACTAAGACTACCTAAACCTCAGGCCCAAGTGTCTGTTGTTTAACATTCCTTCCAGAGAGCTCCATTTGGCACCGGCTGGTCTGTGAGAGGAGCGAGGGAAGGTTGGCACTTATGCCCAAGTGTCTTTTTGACATTTCCTCCTCTCTGGGCAGAGGGGTGAGGGGGATGCTTCTGGAAGACGGTGGGGGGCAGGCAGGGGAACCCCTGCAGTCAGATGGGCCTGGGCACAAACCCCAGCTTTGCCACTGGGAGAGTCTTGTCCTTCTCTGGGCCTCGGTTTCCTCATCTGTTGAGTGGGAGCCAACAAGCCCTACCTCAGACAGGGCCAGGAGCATGAGCTGAGAATGCCCATGTGTGCCCAGGTGCACGACCAGCACCACGTCACTGCTCCTTCATGCTACCGTGCCCCTGAGGCTACCGCTCACTCACCTTTAAGATCTCCTGGTGATTTTCCGAGGCATAGAGCCGGCCGTCTCTCACGATGTCCTCCACCAGCTGCTCGTAGTCCTCTGTGTGGCCCCCCAGGGAAGGCACTTAGGGGGATGGCGCTGTGCCTGCAGCCCCTGTTCCCTCCCCAGGCCCCCCAGAGCGCCCTGGCTCATCCCCCACCAACCCAGTTCCAAGTGCCCCACGCCCTGCTCACCATCATAGGTCACGTAGGGGATCTGGAAGCCGCGGGCACTGTTGGCTTCGCTTGTTTTAAAATTGATCCAGAGCTTCCGGGAGCGTGCGGTGAAGGCGATCGGGCGTTCGTAGGTCTGGCAGGTCTCGTAGGTGGTGATGGAAGATGGGGAGGCTGGGAGGGAAAGCGGGGGGCTGAGTCACCCCAGAGGGCCTCCCCTACAACAGCACATGTACCCACCCCGATCTGGCAGTGCACACATCACCCCCCACCGCGGCCCTCAATTCCCCTCTGATGTTCTCGTATTCACAGTGGGTAAGAGATGTGACATTAGGGACCAGACTGGCCAAAGGGCTCCGTGGGACAGGATGCAGATGACGCACTGGAGTTGCCGGCCCACGGCTGCTGGTTCCCCCCCTTCCGCTGCTCCCACAGAGCAGCATTCCTGGCTGGCTGTGTCCTTTCACGGGTTTCTCTCCTCCCGGGACACATGTACCTACTCACTCTCACCTGGGCACTCACTCACGCATACACGCACACTTGCATGCATTCTTATACACACATGCCATGAACTCACACTCACGTCCCATGCACAATTCACATTCACACTTGTACTCATGTGCATCCATGCTCACAAGCACACTCGTGCTCTCCCATATACACTCGCACTCACATGCGCACACACACTTGCACGCATGTTTGTACTCGCATGCAGATGTTTGCACGCATGCGTGCTTGAAATCATGTGCTCACACGCACCCTCGTGCTCTCCCGTATACACTCACACTCACACGCACACATGCTTGTACGCATGTTTGTACTCGCATGCAGATGTTTGCATGCATGTGCGCTTGTACTCATGTGCTCATATGCACACTTGTGTGAGATCTCCCATATGTACTCACTCACATGCACACACACACTTGCACGCATGCTTGCACTCACACGCACAGATGCTTGCATGTGTGCGCGCTTGTACTTATGTGCAAAAGTGTTCACACGCACACTCATGCTCTCCTGTGCACACTCACGTGCACCCATACTTGTATATATGTTCGCCCTCACATGCAGATGTTTGCACGCACATGCTTGTAGTCATGTGCATTCATGCTCACACGCACACTCGTGTGCTCCCGTACACACTCGCACTCACATGCACACACACTTGCATGCATGCTCGCACTCGCATGCACAGATGTTTGCACGCACACGCGCTTGTACTCACGTGCATACGTGATCACATGCACACTCATGCTCCCCCGTATACACTCACATGCACACATACTTGTACGTACGCTCGCATTCACATGGAGATGTTTGCATGCACATGCTTATACTCATATGCAAACATGCTCACACACACTCATGTGCTCTTGTATACACTCACATGAACACACACTTGCACGCATGTTTGCACTCGCATGCACAGATGTTTGCTCGTGTGTGCTTATACTCATGTCCACGCACTCTCACAAACAGATGCACACTCACACACGCATGCTTGTAACTCATTTGCACTCCCATGCAACATGCTTCCAAACGCGCCCTCTCGTTCACACATGCACTCGCACTCTCCTGCACAGGCATATGCTTGCACTCACCGTACATGCTCGTAACTCAGGTTCACGTGCTCACATCCACACACACAGTCACACTAACAGCCCCCATTCCTCCTGTCCTACAGCCGTTCCCCCTCCACCCCCAGCCCAGCCCTGCAGCCACCCACAGTTCTTCCTCATGACCAGGACGTCCCCGCACTCATCCTCGGAGGGCAGGAAGATCTCGGGTACCACGATCAGGATCTTGCGCTTGGGCGGGGGGTTGATGTTCCAGACGCACTCCACGCCCGCCGGGTAGTTGCCTGGGTAGTTGGGGGACTCGATATAGCCGGTGAACTCACCCAGCTCCCCGCCACACTGGCGATCTGTAGCCAAGCCCCGGGGGACAGAGCAAGAGAGAGAGAGAGAAAGAGGGAGGGAGAGAGAGAGAGAAAGAGAGAGAAGGGAAGTCAGCAGGGGCAGCGGGAAAGGGTCAGAGGTAAGAGTTCTGGGGTGGGCGTTGGCCACGTGGGCGTTGCCCCCTCACTCCAGGGAGCAGCAGCTGATGGGCCAGCCTCACACCTGCTCTGAGATCTCCTGTGCTGGGGAGAGCTGGAGGGCCTCCCCCCTTCCCACTCCCCCAGCCCTGCTCCCAGGGGCTCCACCCCTCCTCTGCTTCCTCTGTTCTGCCCCTTCTGGGCTCCCCCAGCCGCTGCCCACAGCCTGGCCCACCACCTACTCTTGCACTGGGCCACGCTGGTGGAGCCGTCGAAGTCGGTGCTGGTGTTGCCGGGACAGCGGGTGCAGAAGTTCTGGCGGAAGTCAGGCTGGTAGGAGCCCATGGCGCAGCGGATGCAGCGGTGGCTGCTGGTGTTGTAGTAGTGCCCGGGGGAGCACTGGACTGCGGGGGGGTGGGCAGGGGGAGAGGCAGGGGCTCAGAATGGCCAGCAGCCCAGGAAAAGGCAGATTTTTTGTCTGTTTTTTGTTTTGCCTTTTGGGTCACACCCAGCAATGCTCAGGGGTTCTCCTGGCTTTTCACTCAGGAATTACTCCTGGTGGTGCTTGGGGAACCATATGGGATGCCGGGGATTGAACCCGGGTTGGCCGCATGCAAGGCAAAAACCCTACCCGCTGTGCTATCACTCTGGCCTCGGAAAAGGCAGATTTGCGGGACAGGATGTGCTGGGCTTTGAGCCTGGTAAACCTGGACAGAAACTCCTGGGCTGGACTGGGAACGTGCAGAGGGGTGGGCCCGGGCTGGGTGGTGGGGGCAGGGCAGAGGTGGAAGGGGCGTGTCCCGGGCCGCTGAGCCCTTCCTAGCTTGGGGAGGATGGCAGGGTCCCCAGAGGCTGGGAAGAACTGCAGAGAGTGATGATGGCAGGGGCCCCAGATGCCCATGCTGGGGAGAACCACAGGGAGTGTGTGTGTGTGTGTGCGGGGGGTCACTCACCTTTGGCATCACAATCCTGGAAGGAGACAGCCCCCTCGTGCTTGGTGGTAAGGCCGCCCCCACACGGGAAGCAGAGGGTGCGGCCCGGCTCAGGCTGGTAGGAGCCACGGGGACACAGCTGGCAGGGCTTGAAGCCATCGGCTGAGTGGGAGCCCGGGGCGCATTGACCTGCAACAAGCCAGGGCCCGGCTCTGACGGGACACTCAGCCCCCGGGGAGTGGGGGGAGCACCCGGCTGGGGGTGGGGAACACAGGCTTGGCCGGGCATGGATGGGAGCCTGGGCCTGCCCTGGCGGTGGAGGGGGGACCCCGTGCCCACCCGAGCCCACTCTGCATGGTTTGTTCCCCGGGCACCTGCACACGTGGTGACGTTGGTGGCTCCCAGAGGCCCGTGGGCATCACTCCCGGGGCAAAGGTCGCAGGACAGCTGCCCTTCCCTCTCCTGGAAGGTGCCCGCCGGGCATGGCGCGCATTGCTCCGTCTGGCCGTGGTAAAACGTTCCCTGCGGGCAGCTGACTGAGGGAGAGTGGGCCGTGCTAGCCCCCCACCCCTGCTGCCCGCCACCCAGGCCTGGGGCTCCCCTGCCCGCTCCTCCGAATCTGTGGGTACTCTGCCAGGGAGGATGGGGAGGGCCTGGAGGCCTCTATTGTGTCCTGGAGGTCAGCCGGGACCAGGGACGGGAGGATGATGGGCTGGGAGGGTGCTGGCTGCCTCATGATTTGCGGGGTGCAACTGAAGTCATGGGGTGACCTGCGGGGGCTGGACCCGCCCCACTGCCCCCCTGCCCCCCTGGGACCCAGCTGGCGCCCTTACCACACTTGACCCCAGCGCGGTGCTGTCCAGGCCGGCAGGCCTCCAGCAGCTCGGGGCGCTCGCCGGCGGCCAGACCGGGCTTGTGGGCCAGCTCGTAGTCCAGGCCGGCCAGGCGCAGCAGGAAGCGGTCCTGGTTGATGGACTTGCGCAGCATCTTCAGGGACCCCCGCAGCCGCCGTTCCACCCGCTGCCGCAGGCAGCCCAGCCCGCAGCCGGCTGCAGCCAGGGTAGGCGGAGTCAGAGGGAGCCTGGCCCCGCCCCCCGGCCCGCCCCTCCCGGGGGAGCCAAGGCCCACCTGTGGTCTCCTCCGCGCGGACCTCGGCCTCCAGCTCCAGGGTGAGCCTCGTGACCTCCTTGCCCGCCGGGGTCCGGGCCCGCCGGCCCTTGCCCTTGCGCGTGGAGTCACACTTGAGATGGATGAAGGTCACCTGGCAGTCGGAGCACGGCGCGGCGGCACCTGGGGCGGGGGACCTGGTCACCCCAGGGTTCCCCCCTACCTGACCGTCCCACCTTAACTCCCAGTCCAGGATGCGAAGGGCCTGGAGGACCATCCTGGGGGCCCCCCCAGGGGGCCCGACTGTCTACAGTGCCTCCCGGACTGCAGAGGGGCTTAGAGACCCGGTGGGGGGGATTCTGGAGCCCCGGGGGAGGGTGTGTGGGGTCCTGGGGGGGAGTCCCCTGCAGACCTGGGCCCGGGCTCCGGCCGGCCTCGTCCACTTTGCCTTTGTTGCGCAGGTGCAGGCGGCACTTGGCGTCCCTGACCCTGAAGGAGGCGCGCTGCTTGACGGCGAGCACTGCGGCCTCTAGAGGGAAGGCAGGGGCTCAGCACGGCGGGGGCTGGGGGGAGGGCACCCTGAGCTGGGGGCAGTGTGTGGAGAAGCTGGGCAGGATGCCCGGGGCTGGGAAGTCGAGGCAGGAGGGAGCCAGGCAGAGAGTTTTGAGGCAGAAAGGAAGGGGGTGGGCGGGGGTGAATTCCTTGCTCACCCTGGCACTGGCCGGCCTGCGTGCTGTTCCCGGCGTGGCCTGCTCGGGCTGCAGCGGCCCTGGGACTGGGGGTCCCGCAGCTCACGGTGAAGCCGTTCTCAGACTCTGAGAGAAGGGGGCTGTCAGCCCTGACACCCCACGGTGGGGGAGAAACCCAGGGTGGTCTTCACCTGCCTCCACCCACACGCCCCATCCCCCAGGTACCTGGCAGAAAGCGGGCCCGGGAGGGGCAGGTGAGGGCACAGGTGTCCTTCTTGCCCGTGCGGCTGCAGCTGAGCAGGGCTCTCAAGGCGGCAGAGCTGCCCTGACACTTCACCGGCTCTAGGCAGGGGGACAGAGGCCTGAGGGGGGTGGGGGGCGCTTCCCTGGCCCCCCCTCCCTCCACTGGCCGGCTTGGAGCAAGCGCACTGGCCACGCAGAGCCGTGATTGTGCGGGGAGGCCGAGGCAGGGATTCTTCACGGAAAAAAACTCTGGGCCGTGAGCTCCACGGGTTGCTTCGCTCAGCCCCCACCTCCCGGCCCGCACCCCTACCCCAGACCGCTGCGCGGGGGTGGGGGGGTGGGGGGGGAGGCCCTGGCACGCCCACCCGGAGCAGCAGTGCCCGCCGCGGCCGGCAGGGGGCGCCGCGCACCTGTGCAATCCTTGCCGTTCCAGTGCAGCCGGCCCTGGCCCGCGGGGCAGGTACACTGGTAGCTGCCCGGGGTGTTGATGCAGCCGAAGCGGCAGCCTCCGCGGTTGATGCTGCACTCGTCCACATCTGGGGAAGAGCCGGCGGGAGGCGCGGGGGACGCGGTGGGGGGAGGGCGGGTTAGTGGAGGGGCCGTGGGCAGCAGCAGTGTGCAACCTCTGGTCACACCAGAGATTCCTAAACTGATTTCGCCTTGGGGCCCCTTCCCAGAAAGTAAAAAAGATTCAGTTGTTCCCCCGGACACCGACTTTAAGGGAACAAACGGAAGCATCCCTCTTAAGGGCACCCGCCAGTTCCCGTCATCATCCTAGTCCCCCTCCACCCACGCCAGGGCAGTTGCCCCCTGGAGGGGGGGGCTAGGTTACTTTCAGGGGGCCCAAAAGGACTCCAGCTCTGCTCAAGCCCGCCTCACCCCCGCAGTGGGTGACGCCGTAGAGCAGGTAGCCGTGGTGGCACAGGCACTGGAAGCTGCCCGGCGTGTTGACGCACACGTGGTCGCAGGTCCGGTCGAAGGAGCACTCGTCAATGTCTGCGGGGACAGGGGGGCGGGGGGGAGCGCTGAAGTTGGGGTACCCCGCTAGCTCTGCCCCTCAGGTGTTCTGGGGGGGGTCGTCCTCCGCTGTGGCTGCCCCCACGGTGGGTGGGCATGAGCCTGGGTCCCCCGTTTCACGGGAAGCCAAGCGCCCCCGCGGAGAGCTGGACTGCCCCGGAGGGGCCAGTGCGCCAGGTCAGCGGGGGCTGCTGGACTCCGGCCGGGTCTCCCTGGGGGACCCTCCATGGATCCCACCGCGGCCCCCCACGCACCCTGGCAGCTGCGCTCGTTGATGAGCAGCTTGTAGCCCTTCCGGCAGCTGCACTCGAAGCTGCCCACCGTGTTCCGGCAGATGTGGTCGCAGCCCCCGTTGTTCAGGCGACACTCATCGATATCTGGGAAGCAGGAAACAAGGGAGCGTGAGGGGCGCTGGCGGTGGTGGGGGGAGGGGGCGCGCACCGGGACATGCCCTGGGCCCTCCTTTCTCACAATTTCTCCCCTGCTTGAAGACCTGCCACATCACTGTGCCCCTCCTAGTCCCGGGACACGCAGAGGCCTGTCACCTCGAGGGTCTTCTCCAAAGCTGGTGGGTGGGGTGCCCTGGAGAGGCGGGACTCAGAGGGACCCAACCCCCCTCCCAAGCTGAAAGGGAGCTGTCGGTGGGGGTGATGGGGGAGCGCCGCAGGTCTGGAGAGACTCAGCTTGGGCCTCAGGGTGGGGGTGGGGCGAGGGACGGCTGAAGCTTCCTTCCCCAGGGGACTCACCCCGGACTGGGACTCAGTGGCCAGCACTGGGAGCCCAGTCTACCTGCCACCAGACCCTCCGGGCAAGAAACCCCTCAACTCCACAGACCTGTGCCCCCACCAGCCCCCCCCCCCCCCCCCCCCCCCCCCCCTCCCGCCCCTCTGCCAGCCAGAAGACACAGCATGGAGGTTGGAGTGATAGCACAGCGGGTAGGGCGTTTGCCTTGCACGCAGCCAACCCTGGTTCGATTCCCAGCATCCCATATGGTCCCCCAAGCACCGCCTGGAGTGTTTCCTGAGTGCATGAGCCAGGAGTAATCCCTGAGCATCGCCAGTGTGGCCCAAAAAGAAAAAAAAAAGACACAGCAGGGGCCTGTCCTGACCAGCTCCAGTTCTGGGAGGGGCGTTCAGTGCTCCCTGTATGCCCCCCCCCACATGGTCAGGCCCAAGGCAAGGACCTAGAATGCGGCTCAATGCTGAGAGCCGTGTGGGAAGTGACACCCTGGCAGCGAGCCCAGAATGTGCCCGCACGCCACCTCGGCACCCACAGAAGCCCTGCAGGGTGCTGGGGAGCACGCCCCTGTCTTCTTCCTGCTGTCTGGGGGGGGGCACACTTGGCAGTGCTCAGGGGGTTGCTTCGCTTGTGGGGGGCGGGGCATATGGTGGCGGGAACTGGGTCTGGCCACAGGCACGCAGGCGTCTTAACCCGATGCAGACTCTCATGCCAATCTTTCCCCCTCCCTCCCCCTTCCTTCCCTCCTTTTCAGCCACACCTGCCAGTGCTCAGGGCTGACCCCTGGCTCTGCACTCCCAAACCCCTCCTGGCGGTGCTTGGAGATCAGGCGGGATGCCAGGGATGAAACCCGGTGAGCCGTGTGCAAGGCAAGCGCCCTACCCGCTGTGCTCTCCCTCGGCCTGAATCTCCCTTTGCTGAGGGCCTGGGCCCACCCAGCAGCGCTGAGGGGCAACTTCCCGCCCAGTGCTGGGGCTGGGGTTCCGGGCTCTGTGGGGGAGGGAACCCGCCTCCTGTGTGCATGGCACATGTCCCCACACCGGGCAGCTCTTTCCAGCCTGTCCCATTGCGCTGGTGACGGGGGGGGGGGGGGGGGGGGGGAACGATGGGGAGCTGAGCCCTAAGCCAAGGACGCAGCTACCCCCAGCCTAGTGTGTCCAGGGAAGGTCCAGGCCACGAAACACACCGGTGACCTGGCCCCAGGCACACACACAGGGTTCCCTGGGGTGCAGATGTCAAGAGTGGGTTCATGAGGGGTTCAGGGACCCGCAGAGCCTGCGAGAAGCTAAGGACAGTGGCCAGAGGGAGGACAGAGCTGGAAGGTGGGTGGGGCTGCTGGGAGGGGGCGGAAAGGCGGAAATTTTCCTGGTTCTGGGGGTGCAGGGGGGTCCCCAGTCCCACCCCCAGGTCACTGCCTTTTACCTTTGCAGGTCTTCCTGTCGGGCTGCAGCATGAAGCCCACGGGGCAGCTGCAGTGCACACCCGTGGCCGCGTCGTGGCACTTACTGTCGCAGCCGCCGTTGTTCACGGCGCAGGTCTCTGTGGGCGAGGGAGGGGCGCAGGGTGATGGGTCAGGAGCATCAAGCTCAGGCTCCCGGCCGGCCGGCGCCCCCTCTCCCCAGCCATGTGCAGCCATGCAGCCCCTTCCCTGCCCCTTCCTTGATTGGAACAAGGTGGACGGCGGTGGCGGCCCGCGGCAGGTACAAGCCAGGCTGTCAGGCAGGAATGCGGAGGGGGCTGGGAAGGGCTCCCTCCTTCCAAGCTGTCTCTGTGACCCCTCAGAATGCAGAGGAGAGGGGGGGAGGGGGGCGGTGAGCTACCCTGTCTGCCTTTGCACCCTGCCTCTGAACGCAGAGGGGTGGGGGTTGTCACGTTGTTCCTCCCCTGGCTGTGTGTCCTGGGGTGACCATGAGGGCCAGGCAGGAGGCACAGAAAGATCCGGAGAGGGGAAGGCGGTGGGTGAGGGTCCCTTTGCTGGGGCCTCAGGAGGGGAGTGGCAAGGAGGGGTCCCCGCACATGTTCTGAGAGCAAGGCACTCAAGGGGGGCTAAGGAGTGAGGTGAGCACAGGGTCAGCTCAAAGGGCACCCCAGCACACCTGGTTCCCCCTAAGCACCGCCAGAGTGGCTCTTCCTATCACCAGCTCCACCGCCAACTCATCAGTCGAGTTAACAACTGTGACCCAGGGTCCGAGGGGGTTCGAGAGCCTCCTCTGAGGTCCTCCCATTGAGACAGCCCCCTGAGGTCCCCTCAGGACAGAAAGAAGCAGGGGTCTCAGAGCCAGCCAGTGCTGTCTTCTTCCTGCAGCCTACAGGCACCCCAGCAAGGCCAGGCCACCCAGGGCCCCTGCACCGCGTTCTCTGCCCCGGCCTCTGATGCTGGGGGGGTGGTGCCTGAGCCCAGCCACCCTCACGGCCCAAGACTGTTGAACCTAAGAAGATAACCCAGAGCTAGAGCGATAGCACAGCGGGTAGGGCGTTTGCCTTGCACGCGGCCGACCCGGGTTTGATTCCCAGCATCCCATATGGTCCCCCCGAGCATCGCCAGGAGTAATTCCTGAGTGCATGAGCCAGGAGTAACCCCTGTGCATTGCCGGGTGTGACCCAAAAAGAAAAGCAATAAAAGATAAACCTTTGCCCCTGGCATCGTGCAGAGGGGACAGGGACCCCCACATCAATTCTATACAAGGGAGCATCTGGGATGGGACTAGGAGGGCACCTGGCTGAACTGGTCACTGGGCAAAGCTGCCACCTTGCAAGCTCTGGTGCCCAGCATCAGGGTGGCACCCGGTGCTGCTCGGTGTTCTGCGCCCACTCTCTGCCTCACAGGAACCCTCCCGGGGCATCTGAACTCGGGGGCCCCTGGACTGGCAGCGTGGGGCGGGGTGGCAAGGGTGGGCGGGGGTGCAGTGGGGGCTCCACATTGAGACCACCTGCTCTTGGGGGGGTCCAGAGGCAGGGGTGAGGAGGCGCGAGAGGCAGGAGGAGGGCAGGCAGGCGGGCAGCGGGGTGCAGGCGCAAAGCAGGACGGGCCTACAGGAGACCTCTCAGGGCCTCAGTTGCTTCTCCCGGCGGCCCAGCCCCAAGCTGCGGGTGCGAGGAGCGGTGCGGGCGGCTGGGGCCCAGCGGGCATGCGGTTAGTGGAGCCCCGGGTTAGGCCTTCCCCTCAGCCAGGGAGAGCAAGCGGGTGCAGACATATTTACCATTAGAAACGGTCTGGGGGGGCGTGTGCTGTTCTAGCCGCCTTCCCCCTGTTTGATCGCAAAACAGCTGTTTAGACGCTGGGCCGGACCCACCCCCGCCCTCCTCTGCCCTGCACCCCTAAGCAAGTCAGGGGAGGCTTCGCAGCCCCGGGTTCCCAGGGGTGGGGTGGGGCTCCGCCAATGACTGATGGGGGGGACCCCTCCTCAACCCAGGCCCACACAGCACATCTGTGGCCAAACGGGGGCTCAACCCCCCAGCTGGTGAGAGGCCCCAGGTCCCAAATCCACAAGAGCACTCACTGTTTTGGCCAGACTCTGCTGTGCCCCTCTGCCCTCTGCAGAGTCCTGAGGCCCCCGACAATGAAATGTCCCCCCCCCCCACCAGGACTGGGGAGAACAACCAAGGTCCAGGGCAAGAGGAAACGGGGCAGAGGGAGAGACGTGGGCAGAGGGGCGTGGCAGAGCCTGTCCCGGCCACGTCCACCCTGATGGGCCTTGGGTCTCGCAGACCCCCAGCTAAGCTGGGTGGGGGGGTTCCCCAGGGCAGCCCCTCTTGGGGTGCTCTGGATAGAAAGAGGCTAGGTAAGCCCAGCGTGCACCCAGCTTCTCTAGGGGCAGGGGGCGTGTCCAGGGGCCGGTGGGAGGAAGGAATTCAGCTCCGGGGGAGAAATGATGAAATGCATCCCCCCGACCCACCCCGGGACCATGGGGTCTCAGAGAAGTGCTCTAGAGGGAAACGGGGAGTAGGGGGGTTTCCACCCCAGAGCAAGCTCTGCAGGCAGCCCCTGGGAGATCCCCTCCCAACTTCCTGTTCTTGGGTCTGAGGTCTGGGGGCGCCCTGCAGAGTGGGGGGGGGGGTGTTCTGCATGTGGAGGGAGGCTGATTCTCATGCCCGTGGTATCGTGCTCCCATCTGTCCCCAATGCAGTGATGCAGTGTCACCCACAAGTGAACGCGGCCATCATACCCACAGAGCAAGCTCACTTCCTGCCTTGCCCCCAGAAAAGGGGACCCCCTTGCACCCTGGTCTTTCTTAGCGTGCTGGGAGCACAGGGTAACTGGCTCTCCTAGGAGCTTGGGAACTGGGGTTGGGGAGTGAAAGGCAGGAACAAAGGGGCTGACCGGCTGTTTCAGTAAGGCTGTCCAGAGACGGGCGCTGTGCCCGGGACACGGGGCGGGGGCTCAAGGTATGCACCATGCCCGGGACACGAGATGGGGTATCCTGTGTCTAACAGCCTCAGGCTGGAGTCAGCGGGGCAGGGACAGGGCTACAGGGGGGGCTGAAAGGGAGCACTGTGGGAATGTAGACAGAGAAGGAAGTGGGGGGCTCAGGGAGGGGACACCCAGGAAGAAAACAAGCCCTGAAAAGAGAAAAAGGACCTTCGGCATCAGGAGGCCTGGTGGACAGTGTGGGCTGGGCAGCCTGGGCTCCAGGCGTCACCTACCCTCCCCATCCTGGTCTCCTCCCACTTCTCCAGGGAAGCCCCCCATACACACACACCTCAGCCACGCCTATCCTTGGGGGAGGAAGAGGAGGAGGAGAGGGGTGCTCCAAGTGGAGGCGGGTGCGGGGCTCTCAGACATGGTCCTCTCTAGCCCTGGCATCGTGTCTGGGTCTTGTCCCCTCGCTGGCCCCCCCATCCCCCCCGCCTGTCCCCAGGCCACCTGCCTCACCCACCAATGCATGTCTTGCCGTCCGCATGCAGCACAAACTTGACGTGGCAGCCGCACCGAGGTCCCTGCTCTGTGTCATCACACGTGTGCTGGCAGCCGCCGTTTCCGTAGTTACATGTCACTGGATGGAGAGCAGAGGACAAGGACACATCAGGCCCCTGAAGCCGGCTCAGTTGGTGGCTTAAAGCATTTTCCCGGTCAGCACCAGGCAAACCCAAGGCCTGCCAGCGCCTGGTCTGGGGTCCCGGAGAGGGCGCAAACATGGCTCTCTTTCCCGGCTGCCACCGACACACGCCACCCCACCGTCCCCGACCGCCCCGAGGAACATCTCACATTTACAGTCCCGCTGGTTCTTGGTGAGCTCGAAGCCTGGGCGGCACTCACAGGCGATGCCCCCTTTGGGGGTCTCCCTGCAGATGTGAGCACAGCCGTGGTTCTTGTTCATACAATTCATTCCTTCTAAAAGCGAAAAAGGGGGTACGTGACTGCACTGTGTTTTGGGAGCCCCGAGGAAGAGGAGCTGGGCAGAGGAAATAAGGGGGGGTTGGCTGAGGAGAGCACCCCGCACTCCTCCTCACGGCTCCTGCCCCACCCCCAGAGTGGGTGCTCCTAGGGAAACCACTCCCGGGCATTAATCCCTGACCCCCAGAAAACCAGCCCCATCTCCTCTCCTCTAGCCAGTCCTCCGGGGGTTTCTCACACCGGCCATCACTGTGTTAGATATCCCACAGATTTAGGAAGCAACCAGAAAAATGTAAGACTTCATCTCTTCCCTCAAAGAGCTTAGTCAGAGGGGCTGGAGTGATAGCACACGGGTAGGGCATGTGCCTTGCACGTGGCCGACCCAGGTTTGATTCCCAGCAACCCGTATGGTCCCCTGAGCACTGCCAGGAGTAATTCCTGAGTGCAGAGCCAGGAGTGACCCAAAAAGAAAAAAAAAAAAAGAAAAAAAAGAGCTTAGTCAAACTGGGTAAGGGAAATAACAAATCTGGAATATGTTAGGGGAGTCACTGGTACAGATAAATTAATTTTATTATGTGTGTGTGGGGGGGGAAGGTTGTGGGGTAACACCTGGTACTGCTCAGGACTTACTCCTCGCGTTGTGCTCAGGGATCACGCCTGGCAGTGCTCAGGGGACAATACGTGGTGCCAGGAATAGAACTGGAGTCTGCTGCATGCAGGACTAGTAAAGACTAGTAAAGACTCCTGTACTATCTCTCCGGGGACCAATAAATGCACTTTTTTTGGGGGGGGGGTGCCACGCCCAGCAATGCTAAGGAATCCTGGAAGTGCTCAGGGGGTCCCTCCGGGATGCTAGGATCGAACCCAGGTTGGCCACAAGCAGGGCAAATGCCCTACGGGCTTTACAACAGCCCTAAGATAAACACAATTTTAATCGATATTTATGAAGTTCTCACTGTGTGCAAAGCAGTCAGTAGGTGAGGTGCGTGAGGTGCCTGGAAGGATGACACATGACACATGACTTTCTGTCCTGGAGCTGTCACAGACTCATGGAACCAGACAACCCTTCCTCACCTCCCTTATGCCCTCCCCCCCCCCCCCCGCCCCTTCCCCGGTCCCTATCCCCGTCCCATTCAAGGAATGGGGTATCACTGGTCCTGGACGCAGCGCACCCCATTGTGCCCTCCACCCCGTAGCCCCCAGCTTCACCTGTGTGCCAGCGTAGAGCACCCCAGCAGCTGGGCTGGGGCAAAGGACGGGGTCGCGCAGGGCAGACTGACCTTCCGGCCGCTGGATGCAGGTGTGCTGGTTGTCGCTGAGGAAGAAACCTTCCCGGCAGTGGCACTCGTAGCTGCCCATCATGTTGACACAGCTCTGCTGACAGCCCCCGTTGCCCTCCGCGCACTCGTCCACGTCTGGGCCAGAGAGGGGGTGCCTGAGGGCGGGCCCTGGACCAAACGGCAGGGGCGGGGCCAGGCCGGAGCCCCGCCCGGCCCCTCCCACAGAACCACACAGAACCCGCCCACAGAGCCTGGCCCCGCCCCCGCACTACACCCGGCCCCTCCCACAGCGCCCCGCCCCACCCCCGCCCCGCCCCGCCAGGAGACCTGGCCCTTCTGCCTTCATCATCAGCTCAGGGGCCACTGCCCCTGCCAGCCAGTCTTAGTGGCAGAGCTGGCGAGATAAGCAAGCAGGGAGGGGGCATCTGAACGTGGTTCCCCTCGGTGACGACTTGCACCCCCAATGAACAGGTCTGAGGGCAGAGATATGAAAAGGGGTGGGCAGAGAGATAGTGGAACGTGGTCACCGGCTGGCTAGGCGTGTGGACCCACCCAGAGCCACAAAAGATCCCTGGAGCTCTGCCAGGGCTCAGTCCTGAGCACACAGCCGGGGATAGTGAAGGGAAGAAAGAGAAAAAGAAAGAGAAAAGACGGAGAGAAAGGGGAGGGAAGAAAGAGAAGGGGGTCGGAGGAGGGAGGGAGAGAGGGAGGAAAGAGAAAGAAAAAAAGAGAAACTGGTCATTTTTGGGGGGTAGGTATAAACATGTTTATTAAATGAAACATACCCATTAAAGACAAGGGAAACTTGTCTATAAGTGAAGTTAGACATTCAACTGGTCAGCCTGTATTCTGACTGCACCAAACCAGGAGCGAGGGATGGAGGAGAGAGGGATGGGGAAGGGGTGGTGAGGAGGTCAGGAACAGGGGTGTGGGCTGTGGTGGGCAGCCAGGGCAGGTGGGGAGGGCAGCCGCACCCCCTGTGGGGCGCGGGATCCCTTCTACTCCGGAGCCAAGGGCCCCTCCCCTCCCCCTCCCCCTCCCCACTTCACGCCTGGGCTTGCTGCCACTCTCCCCAGCCTTTCTCCTATTTTGGTTTAACAAAACAAAGTCTGGTAGCTTGGCGGGGAGGGGGGAGGGATGGGGGAGCGCTGCCAGGCTGAATCAACACCCCGAATCACCAGCCGAATCACCAGCCGGGTCCCCAGGGCCAAGCTCTTCCAGGGACTCCCGCGGACCTCAGCCTGCTCTCGATGCATGGAGGAGACGGGTCCCCAGCTGGGCCTCAGGAACCTGCCCGTCCTCTCCCTCTGAAGTCCATCCTTGACCTGCTGGCTAAGGGGGAGGCCCAGACCCACTGGCTCCTGCCCCAAGAGGCCCTGTCGGGAAGCAAATTCTTCCCCCCAGTTCTGGGGCTGGGACTGAGGTCCAGGGCCTGGATCTCCTTCTCAAGTTCCCTTAAAAGTCAAACATAGAGACCTTCAACCTGAGCCCTCCAGCGGGGTTTAGGCTGATCCCTTCCACCCCGAATGGGTGACTCTCCTCTAAGCAGTTCGGGGGGCACTGGCCTTTGATGAGCACTGGGGGCAACCAAGGCGCACTGAGCCTCTGTGTATGTAGGTACCACCACCCTGGGGGCCAGCATCTCAAGAAGCCCATGTGGGGTATGAGCTGTGCTCTGTGGGAGAGGTGGCCAGGACTAGGGGAGCCGCAGGAATGAGGGTTCTGAGCCTGTGCTGGGAGTGGAACTCGATAACCCTGTTCCAGAGATAGAATGTGACTCCCTTCCCGCCCTTGGTCTTTGGGTCACACCTGGTAGTGTTCAGGGATGACTCCTGGCTCTCTACTCAGGGATCACTCCTGGTGGGCTCTGGGGACCATATGGGATGTTGGGAATTGAACCTTGGTCAACTGCGTGCAAGGCAAGCACTGGCCCACTTACCCACTGTACTATTGCTCTGGCCCCAGAATAGGACTTTTTCCTTTTTCCTTTTGGAGGCCTCGGGCACAGCTTAGAGCACCCAGGGTGAATCGACATCCCAAATCACCAGCCTGGGATCCCAGGGCCAAGCTTGTCCTGAGGTTCCCTCTTGTGGGACTGCACCCCACACAGCCACTGCCCTCCACGCACCTCAGCCTCGCTCCAGGCATTCCTCAGGCCGGCTGGCTGTAAGGACCTGGCTGGTCAGACTATTCAGTCAGTGCTTCTCGGGCCTGCTGATTCTGGGGCTCCCAGAGCCACACTCAGCAGTACTCGGAGAAACCAGAAGGTGCTAGTGCTCCAGCCCTTGCAGCCACTCTCCGGCCCTATGGCTGGGTTTGGAGGCAGCTCTGTAGTTGGGAGACTCTCGAGGCTAAGGGAACTTCAGGAAATCCATCCTCAAGTTGAAGGCACTGCTTTGCCTACTTTGTTGGTTTTTGTTTGGGGGCCACACCCGGCTACGTTCAGGGATTACTCCTGGCTCAGCGCTCAGAAGTTACTCGGGAGACTATACATGGCACCAAACCCAGGTCGGCCACATGCAAGGCAAGCGCCCTACCCGCTGTGCTCTCTCTCTGGCCCCAACGTTGTCAACTTTTCAGTGTATCCTGTTTCTCTTCCTTTCCTGCTCTTCTATTCGTCCACCTTATCTTTGGGCCCCCAAAAGAACGTGGGGGAGGACTCCAGGGTCCCATTCTCAAATCCTTTTCAGATGTGGGCTTTGGTTGTTCTTTTCCTTTTTTTGTTTTCTTTTTGGGTCACATCCGGCGATGCTCAGGGGTTACTCCTGGCTCTGCACTCAGGAATTACTCCTGGTGGTGCTTAGGGGACCATATGGGATGCCGGGGATCGAACCCGGGTCGGTCACATGCAAGGCAAATGCCCTCCCCGCTGTACTATCACTCCGGCCTCCAGATGTGGGCTTTGGGCTTTCTCCTCGGGAAAGATCCCAATGTAAGGCCCAGAGTATTGCTCTGTGGCAGTGATCAGAATTGGGCTGAGTTTCTCAGAGGCTCTTTTCACCGTGCTCCTGCTCCAGGGCAGACCGGAGGGGATGGGGCAACAGAAGGAAAAGTCGGGAGGAAGGCAGCCTTCCGCGGCCCCCAGGCAGACATCCTGTCATTGACCTCCCACCATCCACACTGGCGCCCGCCGCATGCAGGGTTGCACAGGGCTCTTGGCACCCAGGGATGGCAGGTCCCCGTGTCCACTGAGGAAGCTGGGCTTCCCAGGGTTGGACATGTCTGCTGACAACCACAGAGCCAGGCTGGGAGAAGCCACACCCACTTCCTGCCATCTCTCCAGCCTGAGCCTCAACTGTGGGTCCCTCTCCCGGCTCTGGTCCTGCTCTGACGGGTTTGACCCAGGGCTGGATTATTTCCTCCTCAGCGCCCGACTCCAGGGGGACACTGGACACTGCTCTTGTTTTGTTTTGTGCCTCCCAAGTGGTACCCAGGAGGCCCGGTGGGGCGAGGGGGGACCAGCAGTGCTTCTTGGCCAACCTGAGGATGAGACACTGAGCCTGGTGGTACTGGGGGCCTCCAAGGGCTGCAGCAGCTCATGCTCAGGCAACCGAGTGGTGCCGGGAGTCGAACCCGGGCTGGGCGCATGCTAGGCATGTCCAGAGTATGGGAACTGCAGAACCACCCCACCCCCACCCCGCCACCTTGCTCACCCAGACAGTTGTGTCCGTCATGTGCCAGGTGGAAGCCATCATAGCAGGTACATCGGTAATTGCCAGGGATGTTGACACAGTCGTGTACGCAGCCTGCGTTGTCCTCTCGCTCACACTCATCCACATCTGCAGGCAGAGGGGGGCTGAGCTGGGGCACCCACCTGCGGCCCCCCTCCCCCCCATCTGCCCCAGAGTTCTCCTCTTTTTTTTTCTCTTTTGGGTCACACCTGGTTATGCACAGGGGTTATTCCTGGATCTGCACTCAGGAATTAACTCTTGGCATTGCTCAGGGGACCACATGGGATGCTGGGAATTGAACCCAGGTCGGCCTCGTGCAAGGCAAATGCCCTACCCACTGTGCTATCTCTCCTGGCCCATGCCCCGGATGTTCTTAAAACATCAATGGGTGCAGAAAGTGTACAGTGGGGAAGGCGCTGGCTTTGCACGCAGCCCACCCGGGTTCAATCCTCGGCACCCTATATGGTCCCCTGAGCCCCACCAGGAGTGATTCCTGAATGCGGAGCCAGGAATAAGCCCTGAGCAGGGCCGGGTGTGGCCCCAAACCAAATAAAAATAATAAAAGGAATCTATGAATCCTTTTGTCTATTGTTGGATTCTTTCCATTTATTTTATAACCATATATAATGCTTCAAAGAACATCTTGGCTCCCATTCTGCTTTGACTCTTTGCGGCTCCTTTGAGTCGGTCTCTCATATTCCTGAGTCAGAGGGCATGAAATAATTCTCTCCTCACCTCCTACTCAGGGGTCACTTCTGGGGATGCTTGCAGGACCTTCTATCGTGCCAGGGACGGAACCCGGCTTGGCTGCATGCAAGGCAAATGCCTTAAGCCCCGGGATTTCTCTTTGGCCTCTCTAAAACTTATTTTCTTATTTTCTGTGGGCTCCCACAGGTGGTGGTACACAGAGGCCACACCTGGCAGTGTTTAGGAGGCCATACGCAGTGCCAGTTACTCGAACCGCTGCCAGCAGCCGCAAGACAAGTGTCAACCCCTGCATCATCTCTCTGGCCTCACCCAAATAACTTTCAAGAACCTCGGTCGGCAGGACAAAAACCACTTTCCAGTTTGTCAGGTCACCAGGAATGAGTTAGTGTATCTTGGCTGCTGAAATCTTAGCAACCCAGAAGGCTGCACATTTCAAAGAGCATCTCACTTTGATCTGTGTCACTTAATTATTTGGGGAAAACCATAAAGAGAAAAAGGGGGGAGGCAGAGAGATCAGGGTCAAGGTCCCTATCTGCATGTGATCAACTCAGGATGGATCCCCAGTACCGGATGTCTATGGTCTCCTGAGCTTGGCCGGAAGCGACCCCTGAGCACAGAGCCAGGAGTCAGTCCTGAGCACTGCAGTTGGACTCCCTACAGGTGGAGCTCCCCTGGCTCCCCCAAAGAGGGGGATATGTGATTATTTTCCACATAACCCCCTGAGGTAACCTGCTTTAATTCCTTTTTTTTTTTTTTTTTTGCTTTTTTGGTCACACCTGGCGATGCACAGGGGTACCTCCTCCTCCTGGCTTTGCACTCAGGAATTACTCCTGACGGTTCTCGGGGACCCTATGGGATGCTGGGAATCGAATCTGGGTTGGCCGCGTGCAAGGCAAACGCCCTACCCACTCTGCTATCGCTCCAGCCCCACCTGCTTGAATTCCTGATGGGCAAGATGTGAGGGTATCAGGAGGCAGATTCCCAAAGTGAGGGGACTTCAGTCGCATTCGGATGCCCCCACAGTGCTAGTCTGGACTCGGCCGGACAGTCTGTGGTCTCTGCAGCACCGCCCCCCCCCACCCCCACTACGCCACACCTCACCTTTGCAGTGTTTGCCGTCTCCCGTGTACCCAGACTTGCACATGCACTTGTAGGAACGCGGCGTGTTCTGACAGATGGCATCGATGTGACAGCTGTCCGTCCCCTCCACACACTCGTCCACATCTGGCGGGGTGGGGATGGAGGGGGAGCAGAGGAGGCCTGTGACACCCTTCCTGGGTACCTCTGGAAGGGTGGCTTGAAAGTGGTTCCCCAGGGTCCCGAAGCCCCTTAAACACACACACACACACACACACACACACACACACAGAGTGAGACGTCCAGCGGCGGGCAGCGGGCGGGCTACGTCCCACTCAGTGGCCATCCCGTCACTCAGGAATCCAGAAAGATCCCGTCCTGCTCTCAGATATCCTTAATTGGGTCTGACAGCTAAAGTCCCATCCTCCCAAACGTCCCCCTGGGCTTTAATAACACACAAACCCTGGGATGGGGGCACACAGCGGAAGCTGATGAGAAATATTCCTCCAGGGGGGAGCCAGGACCCTACGTGGTGACCCTCCTCCTCCTCCTCCTCCTCCTCCTCCTCCTTCTCCTCCTCCTCCTCCTCCTCCTCCAGGGGGGAGCCAGGACCCTACGTGGTGACCCTCCTCCTCCTCCTCCTCCTCCTCCTCCTCTTCCTCCTCCTCGAAGGCTTAGAGGGAAGGGGAGGGGAGGGGACAGACCCTCTGGGCGGGTGGCAGGGCCCAGCGGACACTGGTAATTAGAGAGGAAGAGAGGGAGCCGAGAAGGGGCGTCCTCCATCAGCCCGCACCAGGCCAGGCCTGCTCCCACTTGCCCTCCGTGGCGCCAGGGAGCTTTAGGGAGGCAGCTCCGTCCTGGGAGAGCGTCCTTGGCCACAGTGCTGTCAACAGCAGTGGCGGCGGCCCGCGGAGCTGGCAGGGGCTGGAGCCTGCAGTCCCGCGTCTGTCTCTGCTAAGCAGGGTACTCGAGGCCACTCGGTCTCCTGCTCCCCCGCCCCAGAGGGGCTTCTTATCCCCAGGGCTGCCGCTGTCCCTGGCACCCCTCCCCTCCTCTCTTCCTGCACCTGGAGTTGTTGCAGGAGGTGTTTCTCGAAGAGCTGGGTGAGGGAAGGGCCACCCAAGATCTAGCAACAAAAGGTGGCTCCTTTTTCGGGTCAAATCCGGCAATGCACAGGGGTTACTCCTGGCTCTGCACTCAGGAATTACTTCTGGCAGTGCTCGAGGGACAATACAGGATGCTGGGAATCAAACCCAGGTCGGCTGCGTGCAAGGCAGACGCGCTACCCACTGTGCTATCGCTCCAGCCCCCAAAGGCAGCTCCTTGGGGCTGCGGAGAAAGCGGGGAGCAAGGCGCTTCCCTCGCACGAGGTTGCCTGCTGTGATCATGGTGGACAGACCCCCAGGCACAGCCAGGAGTGACCTCTGAGCACAGGACCCGAGGACAGTCAGGTGTGGTCCCAAAATCAAATTAAAAAAGAAAAAAAGGGGGGTGGCTGGAGCAATAGCACAGTGGGTAGGACGTTTGCCTTGCACGCGGCCGACCCGGGTTCGATTCTCATCATCTCATATGGTGCCCCGAGCACCACCAGGAGTGATTCCTGAGTGCAAAGCCAGGAGTAACCCCTAAGCAACGCCGGGTGTGGCCCCCCAAAGAAAGCAAAAAGAAAAAAAGAGGTGGGAAAGAGACTGAAGGAGGGTCTCAGGCCAAGAAGCCAGTTTCTGCAACGTAAAGCGAAGCCAAGTGGGGGACAAACATTTCTTTGTGCTCGGTGAGTCCGAGGGAGGGGCGGGTAACAGAGGCTCCAAGGTAGAACCAAGGAAAGAAGTCGGGATTACGAAGAGGTGACAGGAAGCTGGACGTGGGCATTGCACCGGAGGCCTCAGAAGTCAGGGGAGGAGCCCCAGTTGCCGGTCCAGAGAAACCCCAGGCCTTAAAGTCAGCCTCAGGATGCTGCTCCCTGGGCGGGGCTGAGGCTGGGCCCTCAGGAATTTCTGATGCCCCTCAGGTGAGTCTCTGGGCACCCCCTGCCCCAGAACCTCTGCTAAGGCACTTCAGAGGTGAAAGGGGTCACCGAGGCAGGACAGAAGCAGCAGCAGCAGCTATGAAAGAGAAGAGGGGAGGGGAGGGCCAAGCAGGGTTGATTCCTGAGTGCAGTGTTAGGAGAAAGCCCTGAGCACTGCTGGGTGTGGCCCCCAAACTGGCAAAGGTGGAAAGGGGGAAGAAAGGGGGGGGGGGGAGAAAGAGAGAGGGAGGGAGGGAGGGAGGGGAAGGGAGAGAGGGAAGGAGAGAGAAGGGGAGGGGGGGGAGGGAGGGAGGAGGGAGGAAGAGGGAGGGGGAGGGAGGGAGACCGGGAGAGAGAGGGAGAGGCATAGATCAAAACAGTGGGTTCATGACCGGGATCTGCAAGCTACAGTATTTCGGGCTTTTGTTAAAATTGGGGGCGTGGGGAGGTAGAACAGAAATGGGGGTAACACATTTGCCTAGCATCGATTGATTCCCAGGACCCAGTATGGTCCCCTGAGCACTGAGCTAGGAATGACCCACAAACCAAAATAAATGAATAGTAAAGTAAAGGCCCTCCCGTTGATCGTCGATTTGCTCGAGCGGGCCCAGTAACGTCTCCATTGGAGACTTTGTTGTTACTGTGTCTGGCATATCGAATACTCTCGGTAGCTTGCCGGGCTCTGCGAGAGGGGCGGAGGAATCGAACTCGGGTCGGCCATGTTGGCCGCTTGTAAGGCGAATGCCCTACCGCTGTGCTATTGCTCCAGCCAGGACAAAAGTAAATAACACATGGTTAGGCTTATCAAAATCTATTGATTCCAAATCCTTAAGAGGCTTGATTTTTTTTAAATGTATTTATTTATTCATTTATTTATTTTTTGGCCACACCTGGTGGTGCTCAGGGGTTACTCCTGCCCTCCACTCAGGTGTCACTCTTGGCATTGCTCAGGGGGATCATATAGAATACCAGTGACTGAACCCTGGAATCGGCCGCATACAAGGCAACTGTCCTACCCACTGTACTATCTTTCTGGCCCTGATGTTTTATTTAAAAAAAAAAATTGGGGGCTGGAGCAATAGTACAGTGGGTAGGATGTTTGCCTTGCACGCAGCCGACCTGGGTTCAATTCCCAGCATCCCATATAGTCCCCCAGCACTGCCAGGGGTAATTCCTGAGTGCATGAGCCAGGAGTAACCCCTGTGCATCACCAGGTGTGACCCAAAAAGAAAAAAAATTGGTGGGCCACACCTGTCAGTACTCAGGCCTCACTCCTAGCTCTGTGCTCAGAGATCACTCGTGATGGTGCTTGGGGAACCCTACGTGGTGCTGGGGATTGAACTGGGATCAGCCTCGTGCAAGGCTAGCACTTGACCCCTGTATTCTCTCTCCAAACCTTCGATATGTTCTTTTAAAAAGTCTAAAACTTAACTCCTGGCTGTGCTGGGGGACCATAAATAGTGCCGAGAATTGAACTGAGGTTAGCCATGCGCCGGGAAGCACCCTAACCATTGAACTCTTCCTGGCCCCCAAATTTAGAACTTTTTAAAAATAGGGGTCACACCCAGCGGTGCCTGGGGACCACCATATCGACACTGGCAGTGCTCAGGGGGTGACATGTGATATGGGGGGGGTGGAATGGGCATCTGAGCTCTCCCCCCAACCCCCTCCCAGCCCTCACTGCTGCTTATTTTCTTTGATCCTTTCATTAAGGGAGCTGCCTGGGAATCCATCGAATTTATAGGCAACTACGCATCATAGCTGGAAACAGGAAACTTCAGGCTTCCTGAGGTTCCCAAAGTAGGAAGTCAGGACAAGTGGAGGAATGGAATGTTCCCAAACACTTGGCCCCCGGGGCTGGAGCGATCGTACAGTGGGGAGGGCATTGGCCTTGCACACGACTGACCGGCTTCCATCCCCAGCATCCCATCTGGGCCCCCGAGCACCACCAAGAAGTGAATCCTGAGCGCAGAGGCAGGAGTAAGCCCTGAGTATGGCCAGTGTGGTCCCCAAACAAAAACAAACCCCCCCCCCCGCAAAACTAACTGGACCTCAAACTTTCTGGATGTCTCTGCAGCTCCGCCTGCTCCCCTCCAGCCCCCTCCTGCCGCCTCTGTGAGGCTCTGAGGGAGCTCCATCTCCTCCCCTCGGGAGGCTGCGCTGTCCCAGGGCTCAGCCTGCCGGGAATCAGCCCTAAAGGAAGAGGGAGAACAACGGAGCCAAGGAAGAGCAGCTCTAACGACAGACCCCCCTGGCCCTCCTGTCAGGAAGGGGCTGCCTGGAGAATGAGAACGATGAAGAAAACAGCGACAGCACACACACTACCAGAGAAAGGACCGACACTCTGTAACCTGTCAGTTTCCCATTCAGACCCTACACTGCTACGCCCTAGACCGGCTCCTGGATTCTCGTGGTTCCTCCCCTTTAAAATGGGGCATGTGGGGCCTGGCAATAGCACAGCGGGTAGGGTGTTTGCCTTGTAAGCGGCCGACCTGGGTTCGATTCCCAGCATTCCATATGGTCCCCCAAGCACGACCAGGAGTTAATTGCTGAGTGCATGAGTCAGGAGTAGCCACTGAGCATCACCGGGTGTGACCCAAAAAGCAAATAATAATAATAATAATCACTGTCACTGTCCTCCCGTTGTTCATCGATTTGCTTGAGCGAGCCCAGTAATGTCTCCATTGTGACACTTGTTACTGTTTTTGGCATATCGAATACATCACGGGTAGCTTGCCAGGCTTTGCTGTGCAGGCGAGATACTCTCAGTAGCTCGCCGGGCTCTCCGAGAGGGGCAGAGGAATTGTACCTGGGTTGGCCAGGTTGGCTGCGTGCAAGGCAAACGCCCTACCTGCTATGCTATCATGATAATAATAATAATAATAATAATAATAATAATAATAATAAGGCACGTGCTGGGGCCAGAGTGATTGATAGAACAGAGAGTAGGAAGCTTGCCTTGCACACAGCCAACCCAGGTTCAATCCCTGGCATCACATTTGGTCTCCTAAGCACTGCTAGAAGTGATTTCTGAGTGCAGAGCTGGCAGTAACCCCTGAGCATCACTAGGTGTGACCCCCAAAACCAAATAAATAAAAAAAAAACAAAATGAGGCAGGTGTGTTAGAGCGATAGTACAGAAG